GGAGCAATTGTTATTTTGACAAAAGAATAATTGAGAATTCTCCAAATCCTGCAATAATGTAATTTCAGAAACATTTGGTGTTCAGACAGAAAGAAAGACACTGTCACTATTAAACCTACTAGTGATTTACACTACAATTTACATGACAGTAAACTGATCTAGCTGTTGTTTTGAATGTGGATATCGATGAGATGGAAAGAGCTGTGTCTGTCGGACTTGCTTGGTCCCAGTGAAGACAAGGCAGGAGGTGAGAGCTGGGGAATGTTCTGTCCAAAGACAAAGACAGACGAAGCCGGGGACGCGTGGTCCAGACAGTTGGAGGTCGGAGAAAAAAGGGGAAGGCTCTACGCAGTTGGCACTGAAGGAACCGTGAAGGCCTGGCACACTAGAGGAGAGCAGGGCAGGGGAGCTACGTGGCCAGGCAGAACTGCACAGTGCCAGGTGGATGTGCAGGAGTAGTTAATAGGAGCAGATAGGGATCAGCCTGGCAGTGCGGGGCTCAATCAGGATCAGACTGACGGGCTTAATCAGGCAGATCCAACCTTGTTCTGGTGGGCGGGCTGGGCTGAGAGCACTTCCCTAGCATGGTAGGAAGTTCAATGACAGAGCGCTGGACCATAGGCAGATCAGGGTTTAAGTAACCTGGTGCTACCAAGGTGATTACCCTCCAAGTGGCAGCTGTCCCGAACACACTCTCAGTGACTCCATGTGTGATTGCAGCCAGTTACTGTGGAGACCAGGGGCTACAAGCACTAAGTCTAAGTCTTGAATTTCTCAGGACTGTGTAACTCATGTTCAGAGAAAAGAACCACGTTGGAATCCTGTATATATTTGTTTTCTTTACTCTATTGGTGTATAAATATAACCAGAATCTAGATACTCAATTTCCATGAAATGTTATGAAAATAGCAGACAACAGTTCTAGGGGATTTTATCCAGATGCATTTTAAGACACAGATGCTGCTTGGCTGGCCTTCCCTTCTACCATGACAGTATGAAATGTAGAGGATAATTCACTCTATCAGAGCATCTCTAATTGCAGTGACACATTGAAGAGCCCTGTCTGAACCAGGTAATTACTATGCGCAATGCAGACAGTCTAGAGCACAAGCAAGACATAGGGATAGACTGTTTCTAATATCAATTTCACCCCCCCAAAATAGTAGAAGAAAGCAGTTCTCTTTCCATAATACACTGCTGCTTTTGGATTCCCAGACAAAACAACTGAAATGTTATGTAAAGGAGCTGCAGAGGCTTAAAAATTGAAATCCCAACACGGAAGACGTTCTTATGAGGCTCATGTTGCACGTGGGGATTCTTATCTCCGTTGTTATTACTTCATATTCCTTGGCTTCTTTAAAAAATTTATGTCTCCATTCTCTCTTGATAATTAAGGCGATGTGTATCTCTCCTCCGGTGCTTGCAAAGCAGCCTCCTCTGTCTCCAGATGCCTTTCCCTAAATTAAACATGATTAAAAAAAGAAATAACAAAACGACCATGAAACAGCCCCATCTTTGTGTGGCAGATGGATTAAAGGAGTTTAAAAACAATTTGCTCTGTTTGGCTTGCGCTTGAAAAACGGTTTGTTGCCACTCCTTCTTCTGCAGATCCATCCATCCATTTTCAGGGTTACAGGGGGCGCCAGAGCCTATCCCAGGAAGCAACAGGCACAAGGCAGGGTACACCCCGGCCAGGATGCCAGTCCATCACAGGGCACACACAGACACAAGCCAATTAACCTACAGTACCAGCATGTTTTGGGACTGTGGGAAGAAACTGGAGCACCCAGAGGGGTCCCACAAAAACCTGGGAAGAATGCACAAACACAAAGAGATAGCACCCCAAGTCAGAATTAAACCTAGGGCCCTGGGGCTGTGAGGCAGTTATGCTTACCACTGCACCACCATGCTGCTCTTCTGTGGATGAAATCCACAAAAACAGAACGTCACTTTTCTCCTCTGAATGTCAGTCAGGAGCCCATTAAGACCTTGCGTAACATAAATCAAGGTTTTCTCCAACACCTTTTCGTTTGTAAAGCTGAAGCATTTAGCGCACAGATAAATGTTCTGATATATTGGGCAGTTTGTGCAGCATGTGCAGGGAATAGATGGCCTGGGGTGCATACTGCTTGCGTGATTGATGTTTGCCATTCTTCTCTTATGACAAAGTCCTGCCCATTAGCTTGTCATAGAGAATCATTGCCGTTCGGTTGTATTTGTCAGCCTGACTCCTTTTCCACTCTCCTGGACATTAAATTGTATGGGAGTCTTCTAGCAGCAAGCAAAAGAACACTAAGAAACAGCTATATGTATATAATAAATACAAATATTAAACAATCCTTGGCCCAGATTATGGGATACAATACAGACAAACAGCTTGGTTCTGTATCACACAAATAGTTTAAAACCATGCCAATGCTGGGCTCTGTATGTTTAATCTCTGTAAGTATTTATAGTCACCTATGGGCCAACTGGCATTATCAAATTTACAGTTACCATACAGCCAAACAGGCAAAAATTAGTCAAATGATTTCTCCTTACACACTTACCCTTTGGCACATGTAAAAGGGTTCAGTAGCTCAAGTATGTAGCTGCACCAGCATGCGAAGGCTGAAAAGGGACAAGTAAAAGTTAATTTGATGCTGAAAAGAGAAAAGAAACACAACATTTCAGCTGTGGAGGTAAAGAAGGTACACTCCTCTTTCAAGGAAGAAGCACCAGGCTTCTAAAAAAATCAGATTTTGTTTTTAAACTCAATCCTTTCTGATTAATGAGTTAACTCAGCTGATACCCAAAGTCTAAAAATCCTTTGCAAAAAGCTAATATGCTGACAAGACAAACATCAGTACTTGTAAATCAGAGTGCCTGTTATCTCGTGGAGCAATGAATTGTACTTCATTTTACTGTGAGAACTAATTCCCATGCAGAGTGAACCCAATCTCCTAATAGCACTGGCACTGAGTGTGCTTTATGTTTTAATTACAATAAACCCTCATTATAATTGTTAAATATTTAATTGTTGAATATCTGTTAAAGCACGAATTATGTATTTTTCAGCCCAAAAACACAGTATTAAATTAGAAAAAAGCTTTTTCTGGACTGTTTTTTTTTATTTTTAATAATTGCAATCAAAGCAGGTGATAAAAATTGTACCTGTGCCTTTTTTAACATGAATATACATGCTCTTTATTTTATTTGCTGTAAAAATACTGTGCAAAATTCACTAAAACATACAAAACACAAACAACACCCTGTAACTGGAGCCGGTCCAGGCTCCCGCGAAGCGTAGCTCTGGACCCCATGCAGACGGAATAATCTGGAAGCAAGTGGAAAAGAACGACAGGGAGGAGACGACAAGGAAGAGGAGGGGTTGACAGACGGGGGGGCGTGACGATGGTGAACTGGTGCTTGGGGGCCGTAGCCAGGCCTAACAAGTCCAGGGGGAAAATCTGGGGCAAAGTCCAAAAGTCCAAATGGGGTGATCAAGCCGAGACGTGACAAAACAGTTAAAAACCGCAACGGGATCCGATGCAGGGACGGGGAATAAAAACGGGATGACAAGGCCAGGTTCTCTGAGCCCCGGACTCAGCTGGGTCAGGTCGCCGACAGGAGGCCTATGCCCTCAAGCTGTGGAGGTAGGGCGACTTGATGGTAGGCGGGTCTCCGGGCGTCCGTCTTCCGATGCAGAGCCCAGAGTAGCGAGAGCGCCCGGCTTCAATAAGGAGGGGCAGGATTGGGGGCAAGTGCACATAATTAGCAAAATAAGAAAGAGCCGGAGCGCCCTTAAGAGGAAGGATTACGATCGTGACACACCCATTGTAAGCAACTGACCTACCCTTATAGGGTACCACTGATATTCCTAAATTTTAAACCTACAAAGTATTTATTTTGAGCTTGTTTTATCAATTGTGCATTTTACAGAGCTTTTTAATATATTGTTAGAATTTTAGTGTATTCTTTAAAATTGTTTTGAGCATTTTAAACATTTAAAAATGTGCTAAAACGTACGAAATACAAACACCATTGATATTCATGTCTTTCAGACCTAAAATATCAAAATGCTATTGTTTTATTATTTTTGTATTTAACTTTTAATCTCTTTCATGTATGTCTCATTTTAATGTTAATGTTATTGTGCTGTAATTGTTTTTTGTAAATGCATAACATATTGTGTCATTACATGTACTTTAATAATATTATACAGTACATTAAATGGATTAAAAATGTATTAAAATGTCTCTGTTTTGACCCTATTTTTAAGAATAAAGCAAGCCTGTTGTCCAGACTAGCTACCACTTGTACAGACTTTGTCAGTTGTTGCAGGGAAAGTTTGGTGTTTCTGATTTTACAGATAAAATTCCCCTTTAGCAGATTTTGTCTGCTATATCTGAAGTCTGTTAAAGCAAGAGTTTACTGTACTGTTAACTGTAATTTCTTGGTTAAATGGTTGTTTGATTGATTTGTTGGTTGATTGATAAATTGATTTCTATGGAGGTAGAAAGACCACAACTAATTAAGAATTTGTTAAAAAACAGACAAATGAGATCCCTCATCTTGAAGCTGGTAGTATCATTAGCATAATGACATCTGCATTTCTCTTCTCTTTCTTTCCTGTAGAGGTCAGGTGACATTGACATAACATATTGAACAAAGACGATTCACTGTCAAACAGACATAATGAAATTTCCCAGGAGAAAGGGAAATGATTCTTAATGAGCAAACCTCGTTAGCTTGTCCCAGTGCACAAAAGGTTGCATTTTATCAGGTGATAATGATAGAGCAATTAAATTAGAAGTGGGAAGATTTCCTGATTAATTCTTGAAAAATCTGTGATTGTGAGATCAAGGTAATCTTGAAAACCCAGAAAGAAGGGAATGAAAATGCAGCTTCCAACTGGCTTAATCTGAGGTGGCTTCAATACACACATACAGTAAGAATACAAGGTTCTAAAGATGCAGTAGTCTATCAAAGAGCATTGAACAGCCCTGCCATGTCAGCTTCAGTAGAAAGGTGGCACCCTGGAATGACATGGCTGGGACCTGCACTGCATTCTGCATTGCAAGGCAACCTCATTAATTCTTGTGGCTTGATACATGCTGGGGGAGACAGCACTCAAATCAAAGGTTGGTCAGGATTATTTCTGTGCAGAAAAGTAAGTATTGGGTTCTTTTAATCTCCATCAATCGCTAGAATTCCTTAGCAACAGAAAGGATGGATCAGTGCTATCCTAATGAGTGTGGGTTGTAGTTGCAGTGCAGCGAAAATGCTTGCAGGGTGCTGAGCCAGAGTTCAACAGATCTGATGTCATCCTGCTCTTGTGTTTTAAATTCCTATTCTTATAATCTATTATTCTAAGTCTTCAAAGTCAGATGCTGATATAAATATCTATAAATACATAAATATCTAATATGTATGAATATATGTAAATATACTCAGCATTTATCAAATATACTCAGCATTTAATTATGTTTTAAATCAACTTTTAATATATTTTCAACTGCTTTGTCATGTGTTCACTGTGCTTTACCAGGCTACATGTTTTCAGCCAGTTTAGCTTAAGTGGTGTACAAAAGTGTACTAATGCAAATGACGTTAATACTCATGATTTTACATAGTCTAGAGCAGTAAGGAACAGAGAATTGGAAAACCAAAGGCACCTATGGAGAAAGCAGAAGGAATTCTTGAAAAGTCCACAAAAACTGAAAAATTACTGATTAAACATGTTTACTCATAAATGATTAAATAAGTCAAGACAGTGGATTCAGAGATGGATCTTAGAAATCACTAAAGAATACTAATTAAATATTTATGAATTTCTAAGTCTGATATCATGTGAAGCCTTGTGCATTATGGGTAACAGAAGCGAAATTGGCAAGTTGTTTGCAGGAGAACAATCAATATGGAAATGGGTGTGAATCCATTCTGTTCCCTGCGGCACAATTCTGAAAGTTCATCTGTGTCTCTGACCAGCAAAAGGCGAAAAGCTTGCAGGGCCAGAAAAGCCATGTGGTGCTATGATAGCTCTTACTGTCTGCTCCTCTTGCCCTTGTAGAAAGGCAGGATGATGTCTTTTTTCCGATCTGCTGTTACTAAGCCTGTCCTCCAACTGTGCTAGTAGATGTTTGTAAGCCATCTGATGACAGCTTGTCCCCCAGGCTTCAGCATTTCTGCTGGTGTGTTAAAGATTTCAGGTACCCAGCCGTTTTTACATTATTCTGAAAATGAAGGTAAATGTAGAGTAAGAAGATAAAGGAAGGTGGTTGGGGAAGGAAAAGCACCCTAAACTCTAAACTAAATGAAAGTGTGCGATAAGGGAATTAATATCTGATCGAGTGGCAGCTGTGTGCCTGAGGTATTCATCACTTTTGATCTGATACACTTCACGGCTCCTGGCTTTATCTCTCCATTCACACAGCTTCTCAGTCTGGACCAAATGAAGCAGGCTCTGCTTTTAGAGACAAAAAAGGGATTTTTTTTCTTCATTTTTATCTCTCTTTTAATTTGTTCTGACAGAGGTGTGCGATTTATGTCCTCATTGAAAAATGAGCACATTTCAAACCCTGTGATTCAATCATATTTCCTTTATTTGTGCTAGTGAAGTGGATAATGCTACTTCCCTGCTGTCATTTTCAGAAGAGTGGGTCTTAGCGAATGACATCCTGTTAAAAGAAGCTCAAATAAGCCTGCTTATCAGTTGCAAGGCTGGCATAGGTGCCTTGAGGAATCTGCACCTCATGAGACTCAACTACTGTAGCTTGCAAACAGTTCTTTCTGATATCTGATTCTGGCACAAACACTGCCAAGGGGACTTAATGTAGTATTACAAATACTGTAACTGTTAATCTGTCAACCAAGCACACCAGATTTTTTGCAAATTTTCAGAAACATATTACAAATGAGCACATGATCGTAGGTACTTTCAGGGGAAGAAACAAATATTTAAAGGTTTCAGTAGCGTTCCTCTAATTCTTCACATTCAAAGGAATTCTGCTGTAAAATATAGATGAATTTTATAACTAAATTAAATACACAGGCGTCCTGTACACACACAATGTGCTGGTTACAATGCAATATTCAAGAGGTGAATCATTTTCATATATTCTTGTCATATCGAAATACACAGCAATACTGGCACAATAAAAGAAAAACTTTTTAAAATAAGAGGAAAAGGTTGCTTTTGCAATTTGACGAGTTCTCTGTTTTTTTATTGAGGCAGTCTCCCTCTTGGGTTTTTAATGATATATACTTTTAGCAGCAAGCTCAAAAAGAATGACAAGCAAATGGTTACTGCAAGTCGTACCATTAACAGAAGACTGAATTGACCTTATAAATAAATGTGTACAATTTACAAAACCCTAAATAAGATAATTGCAACACCTTGGAGACCTGATATAAACACGAATGAATTGACTATGATCAATTAACAACCTTGCCCCTCAGGCAATTAATTCTTCAAAACATTTGAAAAATTGAATTGGCTTTATCTACATTTTCTGAAATAGGATGTGATCATTTTCTTTCTTTATAAGTAGTTGCAAAAACAGAAATTGTACAGTCAAATTCCAGAATATTGAAATAACAAGTTAAAAATTACTCACAACATTCCCCCTCTGTAACGGTCATAACGGTCATAACATTTACCAAAACTAAAGAATACTATTCATAATTTCAAACCCGAGCTTTCAGCCACAGTAAACAGGAAAACAAAAAAGTGACTAAGAAAAGAGTTTTGAAAAAGAAAAACCTCTATACTTCATCTCATCCTTGATAAATGTTTCTGAAAATTACTTGCAACAAGTAGACCTGGTGAAATTCTTAGGTCTTAATTTATCAACCAAAAATACCAGGATGAGCCAAAACCCCTTTCAAAAGCCTCTGATGCATTCTGAAGATAAAATGTGCTACAGGAAATCCCCAAATAACATAGTCATGTTTCCTTGATATATTTTTGTTGATTTCAGTTATTTTTTGCTAATTCTAGTTAGAAGTGGTTCAAAAGTGCTCTTTCTTAGGGCCTGCAAGTGCTTGAGCCTGGTGAGGTACTCTATTGCATAGGCATTTCATGTCCAAACTTGTTTCATGTCACCAACTGACTGTTTCGGATTCTTAGTAGCTAACAGTTAACAGAGTACAGCCACGGTATGGTTAACTTTAGTCAGCTTGAACTATCTCAGCTCCTGGTGAAGCTGTGACTCCTGTGACGCCCTGGACATCTGTAAGCTTACATTGACATCAGTGAGAGCCATGCTGCTTCTTTTCTTAGAAACAACCTCCTGTAGGACACTGTTGCTGCTTATAGCATATCAAAAGATGTCTGCCTTTCTTTATTCTCCCTGTGAAGTACAGGAATAACTGTTTTGAGTTGAGAAATGAAAGAAACAGTGAATTTGAACTGGTTAGATATGAACAGACAAATATATACTGTAACGAATATGGCCGACAGGTACTGTGTAAGAGCTGGCTTACCAGAGCGGCGACGACGCCGTCCTTCCCTGAAATAGCAGGACTGCAGCCACTGGGCTGTGGAGAGATCTCTCTTTAGCTCACCGGGCTGGATCCCTGTTGAGTGACGCGGGAGTCCCGGGTTCGAGCCCCCGGCGGTGGGGGGCCAACCTAACGCGGCAAGGGCGCCCGCCTGAACCCCCGTTGCGTTACAATATATATAGAATCGGTCAGTGCTTATGAACTTGAGGGTAATAAATTCTGCATGTATTCGTTTATTATAACTGTTATTTTTCAGAACTACGTGTATGCACACCTTATAAAATAATTACTAGGTTAATTTTGAACTTGTGTGATACAATCCACCACAACAACTTTTAAGATATCAGTTTGCATTCAATGGATCGAGGATGTGTTCTTTAGAATCCTGCCAGACGTTTTGTCTCCTTTTTTAATTGCTCTCCCTCAGTAAGGAAAGTCATGACTCATCAGACGCGTAGGTGAGCCTAAGCGATAGTCATGACATTCTTTTCCTCCTCATTTTCCTCCTTGTGGGGTCTGTTGCTAGTGGCACTCCATCTGCACACATCTTTACGGCGTTAAGGTCGGTAAAAAGGAAGTTCTCCTTGTAAAATATATGCCAAGAATATAACCGAACAGTTGGTATAATTGGCTTTATCTTGAGTTCTTTGTTTTCTGGCACAACTGTGGTGAAAAGAGTTATAGGTCAGGCACAGTAGGCTAAACAAACATTTATTAATAAAGGAACAAGTAATAGGTTTATTCCGTGCTGAAAAGAGAAGAGGGAAAACACAATGTTTCTGCTGTGGGGCCTTCTTCAGGTGTGAGAAAGACAGGGCAGACAGCAAAGATTAAACATCACAGGAGAACAAAAGCTGGGAGAGGGGAGGAGGCAGGAGGGGCAGAGAGGCAGAGAGGCCACTCAGGAAGTGCAAAGTGAAGAGGGGTGAAGAAAGGTGTAAAGTCAAAACCTGCATGAGAATTGAGAAGATTACACAAAAACAAGTCGGTCATTGGAGATTTGCTGTCTGCCTTGTCTTTCTCCCACCCGAAGAAGGCTTCACAGCCGAAACGTTGTATTTTCTCTCTTTTCTTTTCAGCATGGAATAAAACTATTACTTGTTCCTTTGCAGACTTCGCATGCTGACGCAGGTCCCCACCTGAAGCATTTATTAATAATGACACAACACAAACTAAACAATACAACACACGACGTACAAGTTACTCTATTTACAGACAAGGCGTTTCAGAGGACTGAATCCTGACCGACCAGAAAAAATATTGAGACTTCTACCAAGTATTCAAATCCTATATAATGCCAGATGGGCCAAAAAGAGATAAACCTGCCTTCCAAACCAAACAGAATACAACGTAGAATTAAAGTTCTCTATATAAATGTGGATGCTACAAAAAGAATGGGATTCCTATCACCCTGTTCTAAAAAAAACATCCACTTACCAGGAGAGGCTGTTTTTAACCTAAGGATTCCTTATATAGGAGAGCAGTTTCCTAAAACAACAGAATGGCAAGATCTCTTAATGAGGTTCAAACAAGGTTCTTTACGAGGTTCGAACAGTTAAATAGAATCTGTTCCTTAAGGCTGATCGGAACAAGGACCTCCCTCCGGACACCGTCTCTTCTCTCCTCCCTGTGCGTCCTGCATCCACCTTTCCCCTCTCTTCCCTTTTCTCTCCTTCTCCCTTCTCTCTCTCTTTTTATCCTCTGTGCCTGGGCTGTTGATGACTCAGAATAATAATAATAATAATAATAATTTACCCAGAATTTAACTACCCAATGGTAAAGCAGACACATTAGGGGGTCCAAGACAGATTATCCTTTGATCAGTGTGTCTCAGACCCCCTACAACTCAGCGAACACCTCAGTTCCTTTCTTGCTTTGAAGCTCCCAAGAAATGCAAATGTTGACACTAGCCAATGTGCTGACCATTGTCTCTAGATTCTGGCGACACCTCAATGGGCACTTTCCATAACGGGAACAGTACAGAAGACAGATGGTGTTTCATAAACCGTTCTTCAGACGTGCGGCAAGACTTTAAAACTTGCCTTGCCAAATGATACTTAAAACTGTTTGATTTCTCCCTAAAGAGAAAAGAACTCGTAGAAAAGATGAATGTGACCAAGTTTTTCTTTTTTGTTTTTAACTTTTGTGAGTATTCCTTTTACATGAATCCATAAATGACATTAGGCTTCCTTCTAGAACACACCCTGAGGGAGTAAAAAACACGAAGACGGCACTGAACTCCAGAAATGCTCAAATCCAGAACTGTTAAAAATAAAAGAAAGAAATGCACCCATTGGACTGTATTTCCAATTTAATTCAGCTAAGTACATTTTTGTAATTGCATTTTCGTAATCCAATATCAAAATGTGTTGTAAGAATTTTTAAAAATGGTTACTTATTTTTAGAAGTATAGTCTTAGAAATATATTTAATCACATCTGCATTCCATTAGCTGCATACACCATACTCCTCTTATAGATTCTGGGAAATGTCAGCACAAATTTTCTTTAAAAGTTTTAAGATAAAATAAACTATGGAGTATGTTTTGTTTTTCATTTGCTCAAATTTATTAATTTTGGGGAAACCATAAACATGAATACAGCATGCATATAAAACATATATTTACATAGAAAGTTTTCCCTTTGTAATACTGAAATGCATCTTCAAGCACATTATTGAAGACTGAGACAAAATACTGATAACACAACATTGAAGTAACAAGCTTTCAGTACGCTCATAATTTGTGTAATCATAATGAATAAGATAACATTCTGAAAGTTTAACTTAAAAAACTTTTAAAATGATGTTGGTTTCTTTAGGTATCGTTTGTAAATATTTTGTATGTTTACTATAGATAAAATAGAGGGTGCTTATAAAGTTATTTGTCCTTTTCAAATGACTGTCATGAGGAGTTTTTATGTGCTTCCTGGAACATATAATTTGGTACTGTTACAATGAGGTCTATAGGGAACACACTGTCCACTGGAATATGTAATCAAGGCATCATGAATACAAATGGAGGGTCAATTAAATATCTTCTGTGGTGTGGTGTCATTGCCAAAGGGGTTGTGTTCTTCTTATTCTCACTGTTTTCACAAATCTGATGCTTAACTGAGTCCACTAACTTTATAACCACTTGTACAGTACAGTATGTGAGTTGTATGTAAAGGTATTCTTAGGTGAACTTTGCTAAAAACAGCTTGATGAGCAAGACTGCCTGAATGGTCTGCTGTTGTTTGTAACCCCTCTTTATTCCCTAAGCTCTGTATTTTCCGCTACTTTTATACAATACTGCATATACCAAGTATATATATATAGAACATATTTTCTCTTATTATATATCATACATCTTCTGTGAGAATCTCTGTTGCTGCATCAACATTCCACCTTTTTCTTCTCATTCTGAACTGCTTTACATGCATGGCTGAATTAATCAGTTTACAAACTATTTCCTTTTTTATGCATCGCAGGAACCATTTCATTTTCTACTGCTCCTGCTAAGAGACAGATGGTCTTCCTAACATTAGCTCGCTACAGGAGGAACCTGGGACAAAACATTGTGCTGCCACAGCATTGCTGTGTTTAATTTTGATTGTAGAAAGCTTCCTTGTTTTCTGTTCTTCTTCTTAAACTGAGGAATTGTTACAAACTGCTTTTTTATCAACTTCTATATTCTTGAAAAACAGATACAGTAGGCACATTGTTCATGAACATAGCTACAAACTACAAACTGAGGATTCCTTCCTAGAATGCATTTTTTAAATTATCCATTCTGTTCTTGTGCGCAGTAAAAGTTAAGACCTAGGAGATGCGGTGTGCTTTTTCATCTGGATCTGGGCCACACCCTGAGAGAGTTGAGAAACAGTGTGAAAATAACATTGACTAGTAAAATCACTATTGTACACAGCAAGTTCAGGCTTTTTCAGCTTTTTCTCTCATGAGAACTGCAGCTCTTTGGGGGGTCGAGCTGTTGCAGAAGAGGTGATGTGTCTTTACCTTGAGCTGCTGGGAGGCTGCAGACTTGATGGCCAAGACAGCAATTATACGCCACACAGCAGCAGCAACTCATATAGTTGACATCATTATGATGAATGATGTGTCAACGCTTATCGTGCAAACCCATCCAAGCCTGACATTAGTCCTTCATTTTATGTGCAGGATGTTCAAAAAGCAGCTTTGTCATGCTTCCAGATTAACATTTTCCTTGAAGGGCATCTCACGAGGGGAAATGCTGCTGGTTCTCTCAATGGTAAAGTCACTTGTTCTGGATTTATCTGATAACACCAAGTGGTGTTGTTTTTATTAGATACTGTCATCTGCAAAAACGTGATGCTTTGTGTCAACCATGCAATTTTTCAGTTGGCCAGTGGTGCCTGTTCGTCTTTTAGCAAAAAAATCAATGGTTTGGATATCAGTTCATGAAGGTGAATTTTGAGAATGGACTGCTGTAGAACAATTCTCTTAACATGGTTACATTTTTTCTTGGAGTGATCTTTCATGTTGATCATTTTTTAAAATTAAATAAGCAATTTTCACTGCTATGCACGCTTTTCTTCCTATAGTGTTGTTTGAAGGCTTTTGTTCTTGACAAACATGAAAGATGTGGGGACTTCCCAAAGCCCAAAGTTTTGTGTTTGCTCCTCAGAAAGTGCTTTTCCCTTCTGTGGGCCTTCTTACAGTACATCACACATCTGGCAAAGGATGTAGTTCTTGCCTGTTGCTTGACAAAGCAGTCCCTCTGCAAGGCAGAAGGCTAAACTACACTGAAGTAGAGCTCCTCGTCCTTTTTCACTACAGTCTGTTCGTTTTGGAAGCTGACCTCTTTCCCTCGTTTCTCGTGCCTTTTCTCCTCTTTCTTGCCGTTGGCCTCTGGACTTGCGGTCACCGTGTCCCTCACCATGCTGTAGCTGGTGGGGGTCATGCACATAGTGCGCCGCTGGTTCTCCTCCTCCTGGCACTTGCACAGCTTCCTGAAGGCAGACCGGAACTTCTGGGACATCAGGTTGTACACCACCGGGTTGATGGCACTGTTGGCGTAGATGCACATGCGGCAGAAGAGGAGGAACCAGGAGTTCAAGTAGGGTTCCTTCATGAAGGAGTTCACCAGCACCAGGGTGCGATATGGCATCCACAGCAGGGCAAAGAGGATCACCACGACGGCCAGCATTTTGGTCACCTGGGAGACAGCAGGAGGGGAACACAGAAGACAGCACTCATCAAAAAAACCTGCATCATGACGTAAAACCCATACGATTTTTGCAAGGAGATTTGCATATCTTCATGCTCCAGTTTAGTTCTTGGTTCCAATTTTCTAATAGCAAGTGTGAGAAGCTTAGAGGAGTAAACGCTGCGGTAAAGATGATGTAGAAAAAATATTTAATTGTATTTGGAAATCGAAAAATTTCAAGTTATTTTATAAAGGAGTACCAATGGAAAAAATGTTGTCCTGATAATTTCTGTAGACGTAAGGGAATGTGACTAATTTCTGAATTATCTCATGAAATTAATTTTTAACTTTGACAGGAAAGTTTTTTTTCTGAGTTAAATTAAATGTTGCCTTTTTCTTTTTTTTTTAAGCTAAAAAGGTCATCTGTGTATTCAGGTATGACACAAAGGCTGAGAAGCAGGACGTATCCGTGAGTAACCAATGTCTCAGTTCAGAAAGGCTGAGTGGGTGAGCCATGGATGTCATTCCTGCTGAGATTCTTTATGTGAACAACTGAAGGTAACATTCTGTCCTTGAAATTAAATGCTTTTGGTGATTTGAAATGTTTAGAGCTGGGGTGAAAAGTTTCTCTAAAGGCAATTGGGAGCTTGTCTCTCCAGATAAAATGAGAGTACAAAGGCAGCCCTTCTGAAGAGTTAGGTGCGTATATTTCCTTTCCAGATTAATGGCTTCCATCATTATTGTTGGAAATGGCCAGCATGGTGCTGTGATGAGCAATGTTGCCTGGATTCTATTCTTGCCCTTGGATCCTCCTGTGTGGAGTTTGCATTTTTTCTCAGATTGCAGGGCATTCGAGTGCTCTGACATGCTTGCACAATGCAAGGGCAAGCTGGCTAGGATTAGGCGGTGTTCCTAGTATGTGTAAGTGAATGTGTATGTATTTGGGTGTAATGCAGTACAGAGGCATTCCGTCCTGGATGTACTGTATCCTGCCTTGTGCCTGTTTAACTGCCAGGTTAGGTTCCAGCTCATTGCACCCCGGTAGCAGACTAAGCAATTATTGAAAATGGATGTATGAATGTGCTGATTTACAGTATATTTGACATTTCTTATTCTACCCGATATAGCAAAATACAACATGCTTTCATGTGTATCGGTACAGGGCTATGAAACTCTACATTGGAGGAGTTACGCATTGCATTGTAATCTGGTCCTAATATTACAGTTTGTTTAAACCAAAGTTAGATGGAAAACATTTTTATTTTTTTTAGTGTGTGGTTTGCACAGGTGGGTTAATTTGTTAATTTAGAGAAAGAAAGTTTGTTTGTCTCTTTTTCTGGAATCCAGATCATGACTTTTGCTTAATACTGCATTTATTCTAGTCATTAAGGTGCATGGACAAGAGCTCTTAAAACACACTTTTATTGCAATTTATGTGGCTCTGGCTGTCAGTATTCAATAGGAAAGTCAAAGCCATTATCCTTAAGAGGTGCAATATCACTAAAGGAAAAAAAAGGACAATAACGATCAAGCTTCAGAACAGCAGGAGCGTGGAACAACACTAGAGCAAAAAGCATCTTTTTTTCCATGACAGAGAATACATCTGCTTCAATAGCAGAGGAAGACTGCCTAATCCTGGTATAATTTTCTAAATAAATGGCTTCTAGTTTTAAAACATTTGAATGCTACAGTATACTTTTGATATGTTGACACCCAGCTTCAACAAATTTAAGAAGGATAATAAGGTAATACCATAGCTCCTCCTTCACTGTTTTACCCAGAAAAGTGAATTTGGACACACTGTCACGATTGTAATCAATCCTCTTAAGGGCGCTCTGGCCCTTTCGTATTTTATTGCTTGCACCTGCCCCCTTTTTTGCCCGCTTATTTCAGCCTGGCGCTCTCGCTAATCCTGGCTCAGCACTGGGAGATGGACGCCTGGAAGCCCGCCTACCAGCGGGTCCAGGAGAGACCCGACAGCATAGGTTTCATCACAGCGTCCTGACCGTCTGAGTCCGGGGCTCGGATCGCCTGGCCTCGTCATCCTGGTTTTATTCCCTGTCCCTGTTCCAGATCTGAATCCGGATTTTAACTGTGTTTGTCTCGTCTTGGATGGATCCCCCGGTTTTGGACTTTGGACTGCACCCTGGATTCCCCCTTTTGGACTGTCTGGACCTGTTTGCCCTTGCCATGCCCCCCGAGCACCAGATCACCGTCGTCACGCCCCCCTGTCTGTCTACCCATCCTATCCTGCTGTATCTTCCCCCGATGTCCTTCTCCACTTACTTCCGGATTATACCGTCTGCATAGGGTCCTAAACTACGCTTCGCACACATTCTCATTTTGTAGCTATATCAAATAAAAGGACGGATATTATGTTTTAAATTGGCTTGCCATTGATTTTCATTCAAGAAGAGTCTTAGCTATGGGCATAAGAAGGATTTTGTTGAGGGAACCCAAGGAACAATTTCACCTGATGATGAACGCCAATGAACTGTGACAGTGTACTGTCTCACTATCTTGTTATTTATGTTGCCAGTGAGAATATACAGTAGTGAAATGCAATATTTCTTATAGATTTACACAAAATGCAGAGATCACCTCCACAAAAACACTTTGACCTGTTCCTCTCTCAGTCATGTTTTGCTGGGTTGGTTTATGCATTTATTTATACATTAGCATTAGCCTGTGAACTAAGGTAAAATAAGAGTGCAGCTCCAGCTCCTTGACGTTATGTGGCTGGTGCTTGTCACCTGCTTTCTTCAGTTCGTGTCACTAACGTTCGGTTTGATTAAGATCGGGAGATTGAGATGGCCAATCAAGAACTTTGATTTTGTAGTCTCTTAACCATTTGGCAGTGGATTTGGAGGTGTTTTTAGTTTAAACATCTAGATATAATTTAGGTTCCGTCTGTCCATTAATTCTCACGAGGAACAGAAGATGCACCTCTGTTCTCCTCAGAAGAGAAGGGAACATGAGCTCCCATCACACACTACGCCACTTGGAAGTCAAATAGCTGTTACTTGGAAAATTCATGTCTTGTCTTTTGATGTTGCCACGGAAATCTGAGATCAGCAGAGAGCAGAATGATAAGGTCAACCTTGACTGGTCATCCTGAAGACTAAATTCTGATGACGATTTTTTGAAGATTCCCAGCTGTTGTTCTTGTCTGTGAGTTAGCCTTCCAAAACAGGTTTCTTTCCATACATTTAAGTAAAACTAATGCTGGTGAGGCCGAAACTCTGATCTTACTGGTGGTGTAATACCCATACCATTAATCTGGAACTTCTGCATGATGGACACAGTCGAAACCCAGGTGACTGATGTATTTTATATAGCGTATTTGTTGAGGCAGATAATCTTTTATATTATATATTTGGACAATGCTCTGCCTACCTTTATGGTATCAGTGTTCTGAGTGTTCTGCTTCTATTTTGAGCCAACCAGAAAATGCACTGCCAATCAAGATGACTTCCAGAGGCTTCAAGAAACTTTCTGAGGTGTCCCAAGATCACTTAAAACCATTAACCAGTTAACATTTTAGCATTATTTTTTATTACAAAGTATGAAAACATGTGAATAATTGTGCATTTAATAAAAAAGTAGTAATGTGAGATATGTTTCTGTGATATTCAGTAACGGATACCCAGGTATTCTTAGAAGTTTCCACGACTTCATTGGAATCACATTGATTGCAGGGCTCCAGTATTACTGTGGTGGGCCTTGAACTGGTACAATTTGCATTCCTGTTGGTCTTAGCATATGAACTGGGGTTTCTGTGAAGTCAAGCGTTCGTTTCTTGAAAGATTAACTGTGTATTTAAGCTAAACCCAAGAGTACAACAGCAGTCCTGGAGAGCCAGAGGGATTATGGTTTTCTTGCTGCCTGAGTCCTTGATTGCCTAATTAAACTCATTATTGTCTTATTGAACTATTGAGGACTATTGAACCTGTTGAAGACCAGAGAAGGGTTCCCCTGAGCTAAGCTAATGGATACCTTGAAGAGTAAAGGAATGCTAGACTTAACAGTACCTTAAACTGTAACACTGTCCTATGTAGATGGTACTGTATATATTATAGTATTTATGTGTTGTGTCAGCTATGAAATGGCATTGTCTTTTTAACACCAGCTGAGTCAGGAGTGCTTGCATTGAATTGAGTAAAATGACAAAAGACTTGCTTTCCTAATGCGACATGACAGACAACTTTTAAGATTAAAGTATCTCCATTTAAAGCAGTTATTCTTTGACCTTTAGGAAATGGCAAAGGCCTTGCATTATGAAATGTCTAATGGAACAGAAAAAGCTGACATGTATATTTTAATTAGTAAAGGGGGGAGATAATGAGATGAAGGCCAAGCTGACATTTTGAACACACTGTATAACTTTGATGGTCATTTAAAATCACATTTAACTCTACTGGCTTTGCCACTTTGATAGAGTGAAAAATAGAACAGCGTCTAAAGGTCCTGCTTTGAAAAAAGCCTCCTGATCTAACTGATCTTTACATTTACATTATAATGTACAATAATTTATTATTGTACAATAATATTACAATAATTTATTGAAAATGAGACTATTTAGCAACACGTGACGGCGTATAGCTGAAGCAGATTAACAGAAACCACGAAGGTTTTTTTCATAAGAGAGCTGTAATTTAACACTTTATTGTAAATACATTAACATCCCTTATGTTGAGTTGTTAAGGTTAGGCTTGTTGGCATGAAACTAAGTAATTTAGGTTAATGTTAAAGCTTTGTAAGAGAGCTCTAGACACATAGGGGTTTGATGCTACCATTCTAAATTCTGAAAGGTGCCGACAAAGTCAAGCCAATGGGCTGAGAGAATCCACAAATAGTAATTAAGAGGAACTGGAAAAGATTAAGGGTTGTGGGAGTCTGGAACAAGCAGTCTTTGGGCCAAAGCTCGAACTAAAAGCTTCGGGAAAGAGTGACATGGCCAGTGAAGGAATTAGCCGATTAAAATGACATGACTCCCGCCTTCGAAAAGTTTATATTCAGCTTGTCTTTAGCCGATGTCATTTGCTTCTAGCAAGTCAGTATTCTTTAAGGAGGCGAGGGAGTAAAAGCAGTTAAAACAACTCTGGAGAACGGCTGTCATTATTTCAGCCGTCACTGTGACAACCGCCTTCTTAATTCATTGAGGAGTAATTTATCCTCATCTGCAGAAGGGCAGTGGCAGATATATTCCATTTCAATAAAGGACTACTGATTTATTTATGCTGAAAATGTCCCAGTTATCTGCTTTAGCATAGTAACAGGCTATTTTAACACGTGCTGTCTGTTGTGTTGTCAGTTTAATGCTGACATATTCTGTGCACTCATGCATGTTTTTTCAATACCTTTGGCACTTTCTCACATAGTACTTATCCTCCATTTCTATAAGAGCCATTCATTGTCTTGCAATGATTGTCTAAAGACAAGTGAAGACAAAATATTGATGGCAATGTATTACTCGGTTTTATATCTGTTTTTAAATAAATACACTGTAAATAATGTACAAGAATTCATGCAGGTTTTATGCAGAATCTGTACTTTGTGGTGGACCTCATTGTTTACAGAGAAACTCATTTCATAACCAAATTGATTTAAATGTACAACCTCAACTTTTTATGCGTAGGGGCCAGCACAACACAGATGATATTAGTCTTTACATGCTAACCCCTTACAAGGGAGAAGACATGATCTACTTCAGTTATTACTTCTTTAAGCAATGTATGATTAGACACTTGAAGCTACACAATGGACACTTCAAGATATAAGATGAAAAACCCTGAAAAGGGCTCCCCCAAACAAAAAAAAAACTGGATTGTTACCGTCTCAGGGATTTCTAAGATGGAGAAACTAACCCATCAGTTGGGACTCCAGAAGGACTTATTTGAGAGATATTGGGAGAGGGGGATTATTTTTACGACCCAGTAATAAATGTGACTTTTTGTTTTGGAATTTGGTGTCCTTTTTCTTTTTCCCTCCAAGCATGAGATCTACCAGTCAAACTGGAAAAGACTGTTAATTAGCAGACTTTATACTTTCATTCCTATTGATAATACTTGATGTTTTCTGAGGGATGGCAACTTATTTTCTGATAATTCTTGTACGTCAAAACAATTTAAATGAGGTATGAAATGGTCGTTTCTATACTACGACTGGAGAGAAGGAGCAACAAAGTCCTAAATCCATTCTGCAGGTTGTCTGCTAAGGAAAAGTGAATCTTGCAGTTAATAGCCCTATAATTAGTTTATACTGTCAGCAAAGTATAAACTAATTTTAAACTAAATTTAACAAAGATTAGGAAAACACCTTTATTTTATTGCTATCCCCTATGAGTTGTTACATTGAAATGTATAGCTTAGCCATTTAGTCAGATTTAGTTCAAGCAGGTCGATGAGTCAGCGTGCACAGGCTGCAAAGGAACAAGGAGCTCAACAGTTCAGATTTACACTGGTGACTCCTGACAGAGACTTGCTGTTTTTAGCTGCCATTAGTCACCCTTCTGATTACTGACTGTTCAAATGCTCTCCCTCTGCAAACATTTAAATTCACTTTGGTGTCTGAGTCTTCCATACATATTCTTTGACTCTTTTACAAACCTAAATGTTGAAGCTTGAAGTTATGAAGGATTCAACAATCTGCAAAAGTACCCGTCTCATGAACTCCAGTCAAGTGTATGGCTACAGAGAAAACACTAGTTATAGTGGCAGTGCGCCTTGTCCAAGTGTGGTATTCTGAGCATTCCCAAAGGGAAAACGCTGACCGCACATTCCTAGGCTTTGAAAGGTGGCAGCTCTTGATATGGAATCTTTTGAGCATGTTAAACCTTTTAAAATTCAAAGGCCGGAAAAACTGGATCATAATACAAAAGACCAGGGCTTAAAATAAGGCTGAAAACTGATGTGTAAATATAATGAGCATTATGACAGTATAAAAGTTTCTTTCTCAAGGTGGCTACAGATGAGGGATCCTCTCCCCCCCAGGGATGTGGCAGTAATAATAGGGTGGAATCTGCCATATTTGTACGGTCATCTGTTGACCAGATGGCATTAGTGTTCAATCTCTGGAAGACTTCCACCACCGAGTCAGACATACCTGTTTTCTCGAGGACACTGCACCTTTGGTCCGCGGGCGGTTGGGGGACTTGCCACCGCCCCCCTGCGTCCCGGGCTTGTCCTTCTGACTCCGGTCCCCCTTGCGCAGGGTCGTGGCGGTGTCAGCGCGATTAGGGATGGGGCTAAGAAACAGGATGCGGGCGATCAGGCCGTAGAGCACGATGGCCAAGAGCAAGGGGACGACGTAGAAGATGGTGAAGTCGATGAGGTAGATGGGCAGGTAGAGATCCCGGGAGACCTTGTAGCTGCACTCCACGTGACCCTCCTTGCTAACGTGGATGTCGACCAGGAAGAACCAAAGCATGCAGTAGACCGAGGTCACAATCCAGACCCCGCCGATGATGCGCTTGGCTCTCGAAACCGTGCACACCGTCTGGGCTCTCATTGGATGGCAGATAGCGATGTATCTACAACACAAACAAACCAAGACTGTTGAAAGCCCTAGCTCTACGAGCAGCTCGTTAACCTTGCATTGTTGTTGGCTCTGCATTGCATCACCGAACCTGAATAAGTGATTAAACTAATCAACACTGAGCTGCAGAAGGGAAATGCATTGGCCCAGTGGCACTGAACCAGCACTGTTTAACAGCACGTCACTCGGAAGTCATGTTTGACGGGTAAGATGAAATGCTCTTAATCCTCGGTTTAACAGCCGCTAGATAGCGTACGATTATTGATTTGGAGCACCTAGAGTCGATCGCAAGCATGTTGTTTCAGCTCATTTTTTGTTAGTCACTAGTGTTTCCCTCCTACATACTATAGGCCCTAAAAATTTCGTAGGCCCTAGGCACTGTGCCTACAGTGCCTCATGGGAAATCCGGTACTGCCATTATTCCTTAGCAAAGATGTATCAGACTAAACTCCTACCTTGGTTCTAAACCATTTCAAGTACAGTATTCTGAAACAATATTGGCAAAATATAAAGTAAGGTTTGTGTGCTCTTCAGAGTAGGATAATAAATAGCAGGTAGGAGAAATGGAATGTTTACCTTTCTATAGTGAAAGCAGTAATAGAGGAAGATGACACATTAATTCCCAGATACTGGAAGTAGGTTATTCCAAGGCAGCCTGCATGTCCATAGACCCACGTTCCAGCCAGACTGTCAGAAATGTTAGGAAGCCCAGCAGCCACCAGGACCATGAGATCGGCTACCGCCAGGCTGACCAGATAGCAGTTAGTGGGCGTCCTCATGTGCCGTGTAGTCAGGACCACCAAGACCACCATGATGTTGCCAATGATGCCAACCCCACAGATAACGAGCACCAGAAACACTGAGACGGTCTTGTACTCAATGGATCCTAAGACCTGGTCTATATTGGAGACCAGAGAAATATTGGTGGGGGTTTCAATCCTGCTGCTGTTTTCTGTCATGTCTGCTCACAATTGTTGTCACCCCTGGGAGGCTGTGATTTCGATACTAAATTTTTTCGGGGGGTGTTTTGAGATTAATTTCCTTTGTCCTTTTTTTCTATTGTTTTAGTGTAATTTCTGCTTTCCGGGGGGGTAAAATGAAAGCCCATTCTGTTCAGTTCTCTGCAAACATAAGAAAAAAAAAGAAACGTTAGTACTGATCCCCTAGGAAAAACAAATCAAGGAGATTTTTGCTTTTATCTGACAAAGATTTCTCAATGACAAAAACACGCTGATTAATGAAGGTGGTACTGTATATGCTGAGGATAAGTCTAACTAAAAATTGAATTTGGTTTTCCTAACAGAATTTCCTTAGAGGCAATGGGCGTTCTGATCGCATTTTTAAATAACATTTTGTATTTCACATAGTTAGGTGTAAAGTAAGTATTGGGATGGTAAGTGGAAATATCTTGCCTTTGTAGTTCCATTGACCAGACATAAAACAAAAAGACCAGTCCCTCATTATGCAGATCTCTCAAAAACTCTTTACATTACTGAAGATAAAAAATAAGAGAGGTTTAATATGGGAATGGAAATTCAACCCAAAAGCTCTTTAAAAATCATTGTTTTCAAATATTTAACAATTCCATTCTCCTCTTGACAGTGTCTTTCAGAAAATTGCTCTCTGATCCTATCCATCAGGCTCAGAACTTGATTGCCAAAAATTACTTTTTGCCCACTTTCACCATAGCAACTAGAGTCACTGTCTAAGTGCATTTTCGACAAACTACCATTTAAAGCAATCAATTTTCTTTTTCCACACAAAAACCGAGTCTTAAAGTAAGAGCTGCCAGCTGAGACGTATATTTGGTTTGGAAACGCCTGAGAACATGACAAAGGCTGCGAACGACAGGAACTCCATCCTGCTCGTGTGATTATTTTTTACAGAAGCTTATTGATCAGCGAAATAAAAGATAAGGACGAAGTGCATTTGAAAGGAAAATAGTGTTCCACCTCCTTACTTCGACAGAGTTGTGTCTTTTTGTTCCCGCTTCTCAAGTTCCACTCCCTTTCTTCCTGGTTCTGGCCACAGTTGGAAAACAAAGCTGTTCCCATGGAAACTTTTCAAGTTTGCTGCGTCCGTGCACAGCTTCCCAGGTGTGAATTATGCCAAGTGCACTTATCTTTATCTTCTTCATGGCTGGAGCTAGATATTGCCCTTAAAAGGCTCCAAAACTAAAATTTAAAGTGATCTTCATGAATTATTATAGTCCCACTTGGCCTTAATGTTGGCTAATACCCTTTCCTGAGAACTGGACAGAGCAAAAGCTAGAAAAGCAACAAACTGCCCCTTAAAAAGTAAAGTTAAACACAGAAATATAAACTCTAGTCTTTGAAAGACAGGTTGGTGGAGACATATGTAGATCTTGGTCCAGGATTGATCCTGTTTCCCAGGGGCACGTTCACTATAAGCAAACACTGTTCGCGAATAACTCACAGGTTTCCTCAGAAACTTCACATACAGTATTATTCCTACAGAAATGATCATGATACACCAAGGATTTCAGTGCTTCTACATTGCACTTTAGTATAAACATACCATTATCTTCATAAAGGATTATCCCCTAAACAAAAAGGATAAGATCTATCTTAAAATGGGAAGTGGTCACAGTTCAAAGACCATTATATTGAATTTAAACAAAAAAAAATCACAAAAGAAAGAAGCTGCTTGAATTAAGATACCCAGGTAGGATAAAATATGTCAAATGAATATAACATTCAGGATGAATGATACCAAAAGGTTCCACAAACAAACAAGGAATGCCTTAAAAGGTCTGGAGCCCCATGTCTGTTTTTCAAATTTAGCTTTCTCCACCCAACAGATACTTATAGGTCTGTTTGTGTATTTTTCTATGCATGTACAGTATACTAAATAGTCTTACAAGGCACAATAAACCAGAAAACCCCAGGAGGGGTCAAATTGACTGCCATATAGAAAACAATTGTATTGATAATTTGATAATACAAAAAGGTAGTCTGCTTGAGTACTTTTATTTACCAATGTCTGAAATGTGTTTGGCTGCAATTCCCTGTAATGTATGTGATCTAATCATTGTATTTACTGGAAGAGGGAAAGGTACTTATAGATATAAAGAGCTTATGGTCAGGTACCTACAGAACAGCTTTTTTTTAAGCAATGGAATCAAATCACTTTGCACTTGCTAGTTTTTACATGAGAACAACCAGAAGCAGATGCCTTAAAAATTATAGATTTATCTTTGCGCCAGAGGTGTGGAGCCACTTTATTGACAAGAACACTGTGTATTTGATATTTTAAGTTTTGATTTATAAAATACATTTAAGAGTTTTATCAAACAAAAATTTTAGAATATTTAATACGCTTTGTTTTGTTCAGCTCTTATGTTATGACATGCTTAATTTTAAAATGAATTATTTTACTTATTTAATCCCAGAGTATTTTATTTTTTTCTTTTGTTATAGCAGTTACATCATTTACAAAGAAGGAGCTTCTTGGAAAAAATATAATTTCCAGTCTTTTGGGGGTAACTATAAGTACATTGTTTTGTTAGGGTGAGCCATCATCAACGAGACTGTTAGTGTGAGGTCCAGAGTTAAGAATCCATCCATCCATTTTCTATCTGTGTTATTCCAATTTAGGATTGTGGGGGAGCTGCAGCCTATCTGGCAAGCAACAGGAACAAAGCAGGATACACCCTAAATGAGACGCCAGTTCATCACAGGGCACAGACTCAAACACACTCACACACTAGGGCCAATCTTCCCAGAAGCCAAACAACCTACAGGCATGTTTTTGAAATCAGAACACCTGACAGAAACCCACACAGTCAGCACCTCAGGAACTAAACCCAGGGCCACAGCCCTGCGGAGCAACGAGTTAAAAATCATACAGACAAAATAAAATTCCACAGAGAGCGATCTTTCTGGTTTCATTTTATGTTTACAATAGACAGTGACAAAGTCAAACACATGGAACACTACTTATACCGCAGTTGGCGGATGAAACACAAAACATTGTACAGTTGATTTTATTGGCACTTGATTAAACTACTGAAATAAAATGTAGCTTTTCAGTGTAGATTGCATTATATGTCACTTCTTACATTTTATGTACCTGTATGAAAAACATGATGAGCATACATCTTGAATTGTTCTATCCAATCTACTTTACTTTAAAATGTTTCTGTATTTACCTAAGCAATACTTAGCGTCCAGGTTTCTTAAGCTTGAATGCCATATGTTTAGGAATCTAGAAGACACCTGCTGTTCCCTCAACCATCACTTTAGTACCCTTGCAAATGAGATTTTCTCATCTCAAGGGCTGTTTTCCTGCTCTAATAAATTGAACCGAACTGAAAGAGAAAAAAAGTAATTTAACTCAAGTTTTTTTTTTTTATTTAATCAGTTTTCCTCAGATACATCAGGCAATGTGTTTCCGTGAGGATTCTGAAATACACACAGGACTCCAGGCTTAAAAAAGGAGATAGCTTTTTTTAAGGCGGTCTTGGTTTAACCTTGTGCGAGCAGATGTATTCTTACACCGGCTTCACCAACCTTCTTCTGCGCAAGATAACTTCCTGCCTGTTGAATTATGCAACAGTACAATGAAAAATGAAAGCACATTTGTGGATATTGCTATGGACGGCGAACTGATCTGCAATTGCAAGATTTTTCTACTGAGCCTCTTAAGGATACTGATACGCTTGTGACTGAGTCATCAGGAATTGTCACTGGGGCTGCCTTTTCAAATTTCCTGACTGCATACAGAGGGAGAACTTTCATTAGAGCGTTTAAAAATAAAACAGCCCATTTTTCCATTACTTCACATTAATGAAAATCTGCATCCAACAAAAGTCACTTGTGGCTGTTGATCTCCCTATGTGTGAGTCACCTGGTATTAAATGACACTTGTCTTTACTTTTCTTTTTCTCCAGCAAATAATTTAACTTGACACAATGGCAAAGACGCTACCAAAATCACAGGGAGAAGGAAGTGGTCTCTCCCACAAAAGAAGAGATGTCCTGCTAGCGCTGGTGGTGTGGTTTAGAGGCAGCAAAAATGGAATGGAATTGATATTGATGCTTATACTGTATAAGGACAAAGTAAGCACAGAGATGCATGCCACTCATGGTCTTGTAAAAGATCATAAAGATAGTAGAATTGTCTGAACAGACTTCTAATTCTGTTTTGCAAGTATAGATACTTCAATTCATATGTCCCATAATTTCCTATAATACACATAATAGTCATATGCCCCATAATTTTAGTGACTTCTGTTTGCTCTTAAAACATCCTGACTCTCAACAGGGTTTTTAGCAATAATTTCACGTATACCACTAACAAACAGAAATTACTTAATCATTTCGGTATAGCAGAAAGCATTTCAGAAACAAAGAGAAATTATCTGTGGCCGCCAGCTGGAAAATAATGTTCTTTGTTAAATCTTATATCATTTCACATACCCTTAGATGACATAGTTAACTATAGTTTTTATTTTAAAATCATTAATAAACACTGGACTTGAATGAGTTCAGGTTCAACAACAGGAACTAAGTCAAGGGTGGATTGAAAATGAGTGATGGACAGGCCAATAGACAGATTTTTACATTCCTGACTAGACATCTCTTTATAAGTTGCTTGGAAAAGTATTTAAAATGCTTTTTTTCCTGGAGCAAGTGCCTCATATACAAAGCAGAAGCAGTGAATAAAAAGCATACAGTATCTAGAGGATGTACAGTTCTTCAGACACTTTCTTCCAGACCAGATATTTGGTCCAACTAGCACCTGATCACATACTGACAAATCAATTGTGCGTTACAAAGCCTGTAAGGCATGCACTCAGTGTGCATATTTAAAATTCAAAGAGGATTTATGAGAGACGTACAAAGTACAGCAGTATGGATTTTAAAATAAGTGACCGGGTTTGGCTGAATATAAAAATGGGGGAGAGTGGTTGTGGGGGTGCATCACAGATTTAGAATTTCTTGCAATAACATAAAATCAAACATACAGTCATTAAAGTATAAACTGTTCCATGAATATAGAAAAGTTAGATGAAACAGGCTAATATCAAAGGTCTTCACAAATTTATCACCATGCTACTTTTGCATGTCTTCAAAGAAAAAATGCCATGAAACCATAAGACTGTACCCATTTTTACATGGAATTCCTGGAAGGTTTATCTAAAATAATTCTGTTCTGTGTTTGGTTCTGATTTTATAGCATTAGGAGCTTGCATTTCCAAGTTGAAATTAGAGATTAAAGTGACGTTTCTTCCGCAAACTCATCATGGGTTTTATAATGTGTATTTCAGCAAACTCTGGAATTGAAAAGCATAGGCAAAATATTTTGCTAATGTTACAGTAAATCTAATGTAGGCAAGTATTACCTACTTTACTTTAGTAACTGATGTAAAGTAAAAGAAATGATGTTACTATATTCACTAAAGTAGAGTACTCCTTTGTTATGAGACTCTTGTGTGGCCAGTCGAAATGGTGTTGTTAAATATACTCATATTTAGCTCATATATTGTGCTTAAAACTGAGATCTAACCTGTTGTTCAGTGAGCCTCATGGCAGTTAATGAACTATGCAGCCTGTCAATAAAACTGTTGACAGACAAACACCAAACAGGACTGAGTTTGTCAGTACTGTACATATATAGTAAAAATACTAAAATGAAGCTTTATGAATTCTTACTACACCTTCTCTGTATAAATGTAAAGATATTTAAAATACAAAAGCAAATTACATTGGTAAGTTTACAAATTGGTTTTTATTTTTTTTCAGTCTTGCTGAAATATGGTATATTTTTAAAATGAAACTAATACCTGTAATAACAAGGCGTGTAAAAAAAAAAACTTCAACCCATAAATCAAACTACTTTTACATTTAATTAAACATTTTGCATTTACGGTTAACATTAAAACTTTGGAACTTTAGAATAAAAAAGGCAAAACATGTGAACAGCCACACATATTCTAGTTTTAATAATTTAAATAATCAGTTCTCACATACAGGTTGCAAAGCTTTAAAAATTCTTACCTCAGATGCATACCTTTTGGTGATGTTTCAGTGACCTGTTATTTGTAGAGGCAGAATGACTTAAAACACTTAATTCCTCAGGTTACTTATTATCCACAAGAGAATGACATTAGCATGTGACTTTCTGTGCTCTCCAGCATTGCCCACAGTATTGGGTTGAGCTGTGTCCTTCTTGCTTGAGTGCAGTTCTTATCCCTAACCTTTCTCTTCCCTGTCTGAATGTGTCTGTCTCTCCGGCTTCAGCTGAGGAGCTCTCCACTGTCAGTTATAGAGGAGTTCTCAATCAGCTGATCCCTTTCCTCCTGTAAGTCATCCTATAGCTGTGCACCAGGGTCCCCTGCCTGTACATAGCATGAATCTATGGAAATCAAAGCCTTAGCTCTTCAGTATCCATTATGAACAGCAAAGACAAAAGCCTTATTTTTAATTGTCATTCCTACCAGCATGAAGGAATCTAATCTGATAATCTAGTCTGATTTTTAAAGAATTGCTGTCCTGCCTCAGTACACTATTTATGGCAATTCTGAAGTAAGATCTTTATCCTGCCTTGTATAATTGAAGGAGTTTAATTGGTTGCCCCTCTAGATTTAAAAAAAACCCAATGACAATCAGCACAAGAAATTACACCTATCCTGTTTCTTCGTTTTATCCTTTCAGAAAACCAGATTTTAATGTTTTTCACCATGTAAATAGATAATTCTACATATTCAATTCTGGTACCAAAAAAACATGCCTTTTCATTTCCATCTGTGTTTAACACAGCATGTTGGATATTAGTGGCATGTAATCTCAGTGACCATTGTATTAATTAGACCTACTGTATGAACAGAAAACAAGCATGTCAGCTATAATGTACAAAGTTCTTATGATACCAAGTGAGAAACCTCCGTGCTTAATCTTGCATGCGTTAGACCACTTTTTAAAAACATCCCACTGTGTTGGGTTTTTAACTTGCTGATATCAGTTTATGTTCTTTTACTGACAGAATCTCAACAAACTCAGAAGATAAAATAGGATCTATTTTTATTTTTCTCATGAGTTCACCTAAAGAAAGTTATCAGAGTAGAGGTTATGAATTCCCAATTTGAAGGTTAAGAGGTCAGCTGTTAGCGCACTGCTGTTGTATAAGCTTAGGCTCTCAGGCCTAGTTCAGTCTGAAATGGCCCACTGAATAAATTAGTACAAATATAAGTCACGTTGGACGAAAGTGTCAAATTGTGTTTTAAGTTTCTAGTTAAAAGTTTAATTAAATCTCAAATCAAATACATATTTCAAGTTCTTGGGTGAAAAAATACATTTGAAGAATTGTTATCGTTGTTAAAAAATGTTGTAAAATGTCCAAAAAAAAAGGGTTTCGACAATAAACATACTGTATACCGAATACTTCAAGTGTCGTTCACCTGGGACACCTCAAATTCCGCCCGTTTTCAGCGGGACTGCACGGAAATTTGTAAATGAGGTTTGATCTCCATCTAGTGGTAGATGTTGGTATCACATAATCTCCAAACTCCTGCAGTCGATAGTATGGGCGGTTGAATTGAAGGCACATAGAAATGGGATGCATTTTCCGGTGGAAAGTCAAAGAGCCTGTCCAACTCTGAAACAGATATGCCGCCTTCAGAGTGACACCAGCTGCTTTTTGATATTTCAAAAATTGGAAGCAAAGGTTAGTTTTAAAAGTTAGTCGTGGAAAGATCTGAGACAGCTCTGTAATAGAAGATAACGTCTCTTTCTGAGCAGAAAGTCGAGTGCACATAGTGAAACGTTTGAAAACTTCCAATCCAAAAGGCCAATGAGGTTGTACAAAAGCAACATCTGTGGTTAGACGTTAAAAGGTCATTTTCACGACACTCACGTTCTAAGCAATGTAGCTATTTTACACATTTTGTTTGAAAAATAACATCACCGACGCTTCTCCTGTTAGTTTATTATGTGAACAAGTTATTTTGATTATGATTGCTGGCTGCCCTAATTTTGGCGATAACGTTAGTTAAGAATAAAAACTAAACAAAAGCCATTGTAATACTGGCAATCATATAAAGCATATCCAGATTTGATCTTCGGCGAATAACAAAGTACCGCCTGGCACCCTTAACGTCCTAGTCCTCCGCGCCGTCTGACGCCGTCTTGCCTTGATGACGTAACGGCAATGGCCGCTCTCACTGTGTAGAGCAGGGTTTATGAATCTCTCCGATAGAAGAAAAAGCAATCCGAATATTTATTACTGTGTACAGCTTTACACTTGGACGGGGAGAGACGGGGTAGTAGTTACGATCACACTCCTGTCTCAAAAGACGTGCAGGTTGGCAACGGTAACAGTCAGATATCTGCTATTTTTTTGTGATTATTTTTTTTGAAGGGGGGGAGGTCTGTATTGTTGATGAACAGGGAAGCATGGCTGCTTAGCAGATTAGGAAGGGGGCTAAAACCAAGAAGGTATTTTAAGGGGGGAAAGTAGTTGTTGTCCCGGAAAGGTAAGTTAAATCTGTTTTATAGGGATTTTAGGCGCTCTCATGATGCATCTGCAGAGACGGTGTTCTGCCTGGTTCACTGAAGGCAGTCGTGGGGCCTGCTGTCTTCCAAGCCGCTATATTCTTCATTGATTCACTAATTTATTTGGTGGCATAATAGCCCAGCGAGTGAAGTTGTAGGCAGGGGGGTAAATTCATAGGAGTGCGATTTGATGGTTTTAAACGAGACAATAATACCTGATCCTGCACTGTATAGAAAGACAATTTAAGGAAAACGAAACCCTTGCTATCAGGTTATAGACTAGAGTATTTATCACCTAAACCTATTTATGCAGGCCAATTTGTTTTAGTTCTTTATCGAGGTGTTTTGTTTGGATTTATGTGCAAATTCTAAATTGTACATAAAATTGTACTTTTCGTTTTAGTCCTACTCAACGGACGATCGTATTTTTTACACAGGTCACGTAGTTTTCGCTTGCTAGATTACTTGTAGATCGTGGCTAGACACTAGAATGTCTCGTTCTTGTACTAATAAAATGAGCTATTAGCATTATTCTGCAAATCTCAACAAATGGGAATGCAGTAGGGTAGCAATTTTTTAGACAACATCCTATTCTCTTTTTATATGTGCGTTTTTTTAAGTTTTTCACAGTAATCTAAATGAAAAAATAATAGATTAACAATTTAGAAACTGAACAGCTATTCTCTATTGGTCATATATATATATAATAATTTACTTTTAAGCTTTGTTGTTAAGCTCACTTTCCTCAATGGGCAGGGCTACAGAGGAAGACATAATGTGATAAATAATAAGAAAAGTTGACACCTTCCTGAAAGTGTTTTTGAATCCCAAGTAAAGACTATTAAAAGAGCAAATAAATTCACTTCATTCTTTAAAAGAAATTAACCAACTCCCACCTCTTACCAGGCTCTATACTACTTGAGTCTGATCCTGGAGTAGTAAAATTAGATGCTGCATTAAATAGTATACTAGTGACAAATGTCAAAAATTTGGTAACCGGATTTAATTTTCTGATATATCTGACAGGGGGCTAGAAAGTATATCTGATCTGTGAAGAACTAATCCTCAGTCAAAGGCTAGGCTTTAAAATCAGTGTTCAAATTAATTTGCTTTCCTTCTGATCTGTGTGTTTACAGTGTGACTTATAGGGTCTTTATTCTGCTCGTGTCTTCTCTGTAGAGCAGCCTCCAATGGATGCAACTGAAAGCCCCAGTCATGACAGACAGTCCCTGGAAGAGAAAGAGACCTCGGACAGCGAGATGCTGAAAGAGGACAGTCAGGAGGGTGGGGCGGAGTCGGACCTGGAGGATCTAGAGGACGAGGGTGGGGAGAGAGTGTCGGACCAGGAGGAGGAGGAGGAGGATGGGTATGGAGGGGAGCTGTGCCACGAGGTCCCGTCAGGTGCAGCATTGACGAGGGGGCGAGGGGTGAATTGCTCGGACGATGAAGAGGAGGAGGATCGAGTCAGCCAAGAGGCGAAGTCCCCCGACTCGGAGCCTGATCTGGGCCGGGAGAAGCTTTTGTCTTCCCCGCTAGCGGAGGAGGAAGAGGAGGAGGACGACGAGGGGGTGAAGGCAGCAGCTGCGGACAGCCGGGTAAGCGACCTCAAGGACGAGTCCTCGTCAGTGACGCGGGAGCTGGACGAGCACGAGCTGGACTACGACGAGGAAGTGCCCGACGAGCCGAGCGGCGCCGCCCCCGAGGATGAGGACGGGGACAGGGTGCCTGGGGAAGAAGGAGAGGAGGAAGAGGCAGACCCTGAGGATGAGGAAAAGAAGGAAAAGAGGAAGGACTCCCAGCAGCCAGAAAAGGTCACTGAGCCCAAAAGGGCAGAGGAGCCCAAGGCTCCTGAGAGGGGTCGGAGAGATTCCTTACGAGATAAAAAGAAAGATGACGACGATGGAGAGATCGATGAGGGAGAAATAGATGTAAGTGGAGAATCTCTTTTGTTTTAAGATCATCTTTTGTTCTGAACGTTGACAGCTCAGTGTTCTAAAGAGCAGGTGTTCATTTTATTTCCTAAATGCATTATTTTTCACCAAGTTTTGCTTTAAACGTGAACCTTCGGAGCAGATGAAGCTTCTGTACCCAAACTACTCTTTACCATGCTCAAGTAAAGAGCTTGTTTTCACACTGCAGATCTGGAGCAGCAACATGTCAGCCAGACTGCACTCTCCGGTCATTTTTATCCCTCGGCGTTTCTGTGTGGTGTTCCAGGGACCCCCAGATGATGTTCCCCAAAGCGAACTGGAGTCTTCCAGTGTTCTCCTTCATTGAATCAGTTCACTTAGAATGAAATTAAAATTTATATTTCCTGTAGAACAGGGGTTGACAAGGAGTGTTTTAATGCAGTTATTTTTAAGGGTCACCCTAAATCACCTGTTATTTCAAGATTAGGCACAATTAAGCAATTGGTCAATGAAGCAAGTCATCGATGAATTCAACAGTGGTAGATGAGGGCAGGTGGATATTCTTTTCCAAATGATCTCTAAATTGCTTAATTGAGTACACCACCTATTTAAAATAATTAAGATGTTCCTGCCCTTCAGAAATGTATGGTTAAAGTCTGTTGGACTGTTGATTACCCCTGGTACAGAGTGATAACGTTTGCATTTATTTCCCATTTTCTTAATATGGTATTGAAGTGTTGGGTTGTTTCTTAGGTCTCAACCCCAGTTTTGTATAAGGATCCCTTTGTGTCTAAGGGTAGAATGCCCTAGACAGTGTGTATTTTATACGAACTCTTAACCCCTTGGAACCAGATTCTGTGTAGCATGGGAATATTTCATCTCAAGCCAGTGACACTCACAGTTTTTGGAAGCTCCAGTTGATTTGCACAGTGATGATTAGAACCTGTGATCTCCAGGCAGTTGAGTTTATATTCTGCTCATTAGGTATGTGAGTATGAGCAGCACTTGAGCTACTCTGTCTCAGCTGTTTCTTTCTACCTCATTTCATCTCCTGACACTGTATCCTAACTGTGCTTAAATTCACATGTGGATATATAGGTAGTGCTCGATTTACACACTCTTTATGTTTTTGATTTGAAGTGCCTCATGAAGATATCACTTCTTTAAGTAGTTTACTCTAACACTCTCTGGGGGCTACAGGCAAATTGATGGAGGGTTCCAGATAATATACACTGTTCCTATCCAGCCTGTAGTGGCGCAGTGTGGAGGTCAGTAGTTTAGTATATAGCTACATTGAAACCAGCACATTTTCCAACGTGATGGGATTTGAAGATTTTCCTTCGAGGGAAAGAAATGAGGGCGGCACAGTGACGCAGTGCTGGGCTCCTGAGTTCATTTTTTGCTATCCGTGTGGGGTTTCTATGTTTTTCCTGTGTGCGCATGGGTTTCCTCCAGGCGCTCGGGTTCCCTGCCACAGTCCAAAGGCAGAGAAACCAGGAGGTTGATTGGCTTCTGAGAAAACTAGCCCCGGTGTGCGCGTGTCTGTGTCTGCCCTGTGACGCACTGGTGTCCCCTTCGGGGTGTACTCCACCTTGCACCTGTCACCTGTGGGTTAGGCTCCAGCATCCCTGCGACCCTGAATAGAGTAGAGAAGAAGTTAGAAAATGGATGGGTGGAAAGAAATGGAAATATTAATTATTAACACAACTGCTTTATTACTGTGTGCCACAAACATTCATGTTTGCAATTGCTAAATAACTAAGAACCTATTAATCTCAGGGTTTACAGATCTGATACAGAGGCTAATTGAGATGTTTTATGGGGTTTTCTATGTTATTTTAATTAATACATGTGTTATTAATCAACAGTTTGTAAATAGTGACTTTAATTTGTATTTAATGAAATAATCTTTAAAATCCAACCCTGTTTTACGGTCTCGGTCACCAAAATGTTCACCCTGTATGTTCACATGTATGCTGCCTGTTCTCAGGTTTTCTGCTTTTTAATAAGTGATTGCTTAAATGCATTAATCAAAAAAGAGTTTAAGTAATCAGCACTCTAACAAGCTAATGATATTGTTGATTTTCTGTGATGAGCTTGGCTGAAATGTTTCACTTATTAAAGCACTAGCTAAGCTAAGCTAAATGTAGCATTTGTTTAAACATACTTTACATAACCCAGGAGCTGATGAGACGTATACAGCTGCACACCTGACTGTTTACAAGGCACTTGAGTTATTGACAGCTCAAAAAAGCTTCACACTTGAAACCTTTTTTTTAAAGCTTTTTTTAAAAGCTGGTTTCCTAGGAGCTCATACACTGACGCACCTGCACACTCATGTCTTTTCTGACTGTGACTAACGTGATGTTTAGTTGAGGATCTAAATTGGAATTGCTGTGATGGCATTATTGTGGCTGTTGAAATGGTGAAAGTAGTGAAGAAAGTTTTTTTTTTTGTTGAAACTCTTCTCTGGATCCATCAAACAGTTCAGATGGCTGGTTTCATTCACAATGGAAAGGTTTGGGTTAGTTTTACAAACTCCGGCCGAGTTGTTTAATTTGAACTACTCATTCTCCCAGTACAAGAGAGAAGCACATCATTTCATTTCGGTCGGTTTTGCCAAACCTATGCCAGAATAAATGTCCATGCCATTGTTTTATGAATGCAACTTTCTTATTGAGGCTTTGTCTGCTTCACATTAATATAAAATCTAATGTCAATTTGACAGATCAAGTAATTTCAATGGGAATCATTGGAATTATGGCACGCTCTTAGTATCCTTTTAGAACTGCCTTCCATTCTGGGACTCAGCTTGGCTTGTTGTAGTTGGAACAGATCTGGGGAGTTTGCTTATTTCAATATGCAAAGATAAGATGAGATCACTTTATTGACCATATACAAATTCTTGCATTAGGAATTTGTCTTTTCACAGACCCCAGCTTGCTCCCCTTGAGACACACAGGAGAGAAGCTTGGGGTCAGAGCGCAGGGTCAGCCATTTATATGGCGCCCCTGGAGCAGTTGGGGTTAAGGGCCTTGCTCAGGGGCCCAATGGAGTAGGATTCCTCTGCCGGCTGCGGGATACGAACTGGCAACCTTCCAGCCACAGGCACAGATCCTTAGCCACAGTGCCACCACACTGCCCAAGGCAGGGACAGTTTAACTGTTCCTTTCTGACAGTCTGGTACAGTTGAGCGTTTTCTGAAGAGCTGTCAAGTGTGGGAGACTGACAGTATTCCCCGTTCTTCCCAGGATGATGACTTGGAAGAAGGCGAGGTGAAGGACCCCATGGATCGGAAGATAAGGCCCCGTCCCATCTGCAGGTTTTTCATGAAAGGTATCTTGTTCCTCTGCATTTCTTAGGTCAGTGTCTTTCCAAGGGCACTGGATGGATGGATGTTTGTTATCTCGCAGTAACAACCCTTACGCCAGTGTTGTACATGCCTGAAGGCTTGCCAAGCCATGTATCCTCAGAAGAGTTCAGTCTTATCTTTCTTGCACACAAAGTCACAGCACAGGCGGCAAAGTGAGGTTTTCACTAATTCAGTAGCACTGCAGAATCTTGGGCACCTGGCTGACCACGAGGGTTGGTGATGTCCAGCAAGCTGGGTAAATCCTGGTCAATTTCAAACCCCAGTAGCCCCTCAGATAAGCGTATACTGGCGCATAGGAAATCTTGCTCAAAAGGGGCACTAGTGGTATAGCTTGGATTCAAACAAGCACTCTTTGGAAACAGAAAGGCCCAAGCTGTGCACTGAAGAAGACTTTTTGCAGGTACCCTCAAGCTTTGGTTAGATGTGCTCCACGACAGGATTGTCAATTTAACCCTTTTCATACGTGTCAGGTCCATCATTTCCTTGATTATCATACGTGGAATACAAGCAGGGAAAGTTGAGATACTGTTTTATAAAATCACCCTTTTGTTTGGGATGTGCTTAGGACTAACTTTGGATTTTGTTTGTCCTCTAGGAGTTAATAAGGCAATTTCTTATATCCATCTCCAGAGTGATTGATTACGTTTTAACCCTTTCCAGGTAACTGCACATGGGGAATGAATTGCAGATTTATCCATCCGGGGGTGAACGACAAAGGAAATTATTCTCTCATAGTCAAGCCCGACCCCTTCTCACCCAACGGAGGGCCCCCAGTTGGACCTCATCCTCTCATGCCTTCAAATCCATGGGTATGCCTTGTTTCTACCTTCACAGCAATAACCGCTTCCATTGCAAAAAGTGCTGAATCTTTTCAACCGGCTAATGTAACCTAGATGAGTCTCTCAGTTGCCAGTCTGTAAAACCCTAATGAATGTAAACTGAGCAGAATTTCACAAAATCCCACTGATCATGCATAGTACACTTACTCTCTGGTCTGTTGGCACTGGAAAGTACATGTGAATTCAGAAATCCTCCTCTTTCTCTGTCAGACTGCAGACACAAAATGACCATGTTGTATTGTGTTAGTTTCATTTTTAACCTGTCAGATCTGAACTGGTCCCGCTGCAGATTCCCACATTTTGAGTTTTGGCGCTTGCATGCAACGACCTGTAAAGCGAGTCAATACACTGGCTACTTCTATTTGTCTTCCATATGTCAGTCAATTCTTGATAGTCTCTCAGGAATTGATAGCTCTGCCAGTAGAAAAAGTAGGCAAATAAACTCAGGCCATGAAGGGTTAAGGCAAAGTTAAAGATTGGTTAAAACTAGGATATTTCTTCACGGTCAGTTGTTTGCTTGGTAGTTTATGCTTAAACATTATCGCAGAATGGAATATACTGATTGCCTTCAGGATTTTATAATAATAATATAATATCACTTTATTAACCCTTTACAGTTTCTTGCATTAGGAATTATCTTTTCGCATACCCCAGCTTGTTCTCCATGAGAGACACAGATAGGGAGAGAGTCTGGGGTCAGAGCGCAGGGTCTGCCATTGTGTATCTGTAAAAGATTGGTTAAAATTGTGATATCGCTAGACTTATTTTATCTTGTGTGTTGATAGGAATGCTGTAATACTTAGATATTACTGTAAACTATACTACATGTTTACTACATACTACACAGTAAATCGGAGAAATAAGGGCTTTAAATGTCAGTATAAAAAGTGCAAAAGAAAACATCTTCCCTCGAATCAGGCTACCACTAGGTGGCAGCAGTGGAATTCAAGACCTTTTCATTTTACTGAGGTTCGATGTTAAAGCACCTGGTGGTGGCCTTTTAAGGTGACTTAACTGGAATTAAGTTCAAAAAGCAACATCAAGCATAAACAAGCTGATGATAGCTTACTGGTTTTGAAATGTTCCAGTGAAGGCACTGTCAGAAGTGGGAAAATACGTATGCACAGTAAAACAGAATTTCATTTCACTTTAAGATGCTTTTTTAATCCTCAGGGGGCAATTTAAACAGCAGTCGGTTTTCTGTCATAGAGCACTTTATGTACAGTTCTCCTGTACATAAATAAATAATTGTAGCATAAAAACAGACAACAAATAAAATTACATTACTAA